ATGGATACATTCAATGACATTTCAATCTGACACCAGTGACATAATAATACCGCTCCTATTTGTATTGTAAAAAACAAAGAAATAAAGAAGAGGTAAAATAGTCTTCCTCACAATATCCATACTATGACTAGTAATGCGGTACAAGTCATTCCCGAAATAGGATAGAAAAAGAATATAAGCAAAAACAAGGAAAAGGTTTTTCATAATTTTTTGATCATACATAATTAAATTATAGAATTGCCAACAACAATTTGGTTTTGTTTACGAACTTGATGTTGATAAATCCGYAGATTTAGAAATTCATTTCGGACAATTGAACTTTCCCAAACTGTTTCTTTATAGACTCATAGCCTCACAGGTGGGTAAACTTAAATTTTCAAAAAATAATTATTATTATTATTATTTTTGGTGAAGGCAAAATCTAAATCTTGCCCAACAGAATCTAAACTAAATAGATTTCTTTAAGATTCAAAGTTGTATAGATAGTAAATAAATATTTACATAAATATAATAATTTAGTGAAATTTGCAATAAATCTAAACGATATTATCAAATAATAATAATTGAGATAAAAAATTATATTTTAAATTCATTAAAAATGATGCTCAAGTATCTATAATTTTTCTTGAAAATATTCATCATTATTATTACTACAAAAATAGATTTTTCTTTTTTTTTTTTTGGTGTTAAATCAGTGTTAAAAGTAAATGGCCTTGACGCTTCCTCCACTCAAAAGAAAAAACATTTCCAAATATGAGGAGACTTTTTTACCAAAGAGAATCCTTTTTGTTGAAGAAAAGTTTGGTTTTTGTTGACTCAAATTTTGAATTAAAGCTACAATTTTCCTCTTTTAAAAAAAATGAAATTATATATATAAATATATTGTTGGGAGCACCAAAACGACCTTCTACTTGGCAAGAAACTAATAAGTTGTCTCCCAATGATAATCTATAGCATGTCGAAACCCCGACCAAGGTCGAGATGTCGTTAGAGACCGGACAAAGTATAGCAACTTATAATTTTTATGTTATATTTATTTTTTTATATATTTCTTATACATTTCATAAGTTAAAAATAATAAAATAATGCTTCTATCTATAATTAAAAAAAATGGAAATAGAACAAGAAACTTGATTGTGTTGTTTTCAAATTTTTTACACAATTTTGAAAACGTTTCTTAAATGAGACACTAGAAACATGAATAATTACAAAGCATTTATGTTTATACAAATTTGAAAATATCAAACGTAAACAGAAATGTTACTAAACGAGCCCTTAATTAAATATATATATATATATATATATTTAGGAAATAACATTTGCCTAAATATTTGTCAACAAAAGTTTTTATCAAGTTTTAGACATAGTTTATTTTCGATGTCAATTTCTATTGTATTTAATAGATAAATAGATTTCAATCTCAAAAAACGTATTAGCATGCAGTATAGTTTAAAGTCTAAATTTTCATTAGTCTATTGTTAGGAATAAACAAACTTTATTGAAAATTTATCTTTAGTGGATAAAATTATTTAATCCCATTCATTTCTAACATGACCTCAACTTTTTTCTTTTAGGATAAAAAATTAAAACTATCTGAATACTTCATATTTTATTTTATATCATATATACTTATTTTTCCTTTCTAATATACCAATCAGTTTTCATAAAATGAATTTATTAAAACAATAAAAATAATTTAAAAGACATTTTTTAGATAAATTATGTATTTCTTTACACGTCTTTGACTACCAAATTTTGAGAGATATAGAGAAAGATGGGAATGGAAAATGAAATTTTCTGCAAATTTGGGAATGGGAAATATATTCGATTTTGACTTGCTTAGTTGACATTCTTATCTATAATAAATATCATAATTAATTTTGATTTATTAGATAAAATCTAAAAAATAATTAAAATTATGAAAAAAAACATGTACATTTTAGTTGTAATTATTCTTATTGCAATATTAGTTGTAATTTAATAGAAGTGTTAACAAAGGAAGAGTAATTAATAAACATATATGATGTAATAAATTCTCTTTCATAAATTTTGATAATTATATCGGTTTGATCCCTGACTTTAAGCATTATGTGTTAGGTCGACGAGAAGTCGGAAGTTATTATTATTAATTTTTTTACTATAAATTTTATAAAATTGATATATAACAATTTTTGTTAGCTCAATAAGAGGAGATTGGGTCATGCGACGGATGCAAGCTAGACTTTGAAGCACAAAATCCAAGATTTCTGAACCCCAACGAAAAAATGAGAGTTTTTAAGAGCTTGCTCCCTAGTCACGCTCCGGTCTCAACATGCTGGGCCTACTAGAAAAAACTTTTTAGCTATTTACAAATATATGAATTAAAAATTATGTTAATGTTATTTTTTAATTAAAATAATATATTTTATTTTATTACTATTTTATTGATAGCAAATGCTTTTTATCATTTATATTATGTCAAAGAGAATCGATCAACAGTAACTGATATATATCTCCAATCAAGAATTACACTTTTTATCGAGTAATTTCTAAGTTTGAGGAGTGTTCTACTCATTAATTTCATTTCTGCAATTTAATAAACAATATTGAATTCCTTGATTTTCATTCCAAACGAGACCTTAAATCTTAAACTCTATTCTAAAACAACATTTTTGTCTTTGGCATTAATGTTTTTATGGGTCAATTCAATAATGTTTCTTTCCTGTCTTTGTTTCTCATTTTCAATTTTTTAGAAATTAAATGTTTGGTAACTGTTTCTATTATTAAGAAACGTTTTTTAAATTATGTAGAAATTTTGGAAAACAACACCATCACATTTTAAGTTTTTTTTTTTTTTCAAATCATAGGTAAAATATTAATTTGTCATTTATATATATAAAATACATCATAAATATAAAAAACAATTTAAAATTTTAATTTTCATATAAAACTTCTACTTTTTTTAATTAGGAATTTGAAAGAAACAAGAACCGCTAGAAAAACAATTTTATTTTTCTGGATCGAGAATGCAAAAATATGGAAAAAGAAACAAAAGATACATATATCTACGTAAACATGTGTTTGAAGCAACATATTATAGATTAGATGTTGCTTTTTCAAATGGATTTGGGTCGTGTTTGAGATTGATTTTCTGAAAATATGAAACATTTTCTTACAAACTTTTAAAAGTTATCATTTTATCATCACATATCCACAGTAAAGTTTTCAAACAATGTAATTCACAATCCATCTCATTTCATCAGTTTTTTTTTTTTTTTGTTTTAATTAACTTGTTGCTTCTACTCTATTTAATTTGTTATAAATTGATTTATTTTTACCTCTTTTTATTTAAATAGAAATTACATTTTGTTCTATACAATTTTTATAGCAATTATTTTTCTTCATCTTTTATCAAATAATTTAGAATAAACAATATGTAATTTGTAATTTAAATAAACATCCTTAAAAATTTTGAGATTAAATATCAACCCAACATTATACATACAATTGAAATATTAGGCATATTTTTGGTCATTATAGCTAAATTTTAAAAACTTTGTTTATACCAAAATATGACCTTTCTGTGAACACGTGCGAGGTAGTTTAGATCGAGCTCCACTCTAATGCTCATGTTAATAAGAATTTGACCTATAGCTCTCAAGACGATGAATTAGATTGCAACATACCTATTCACGAGAATGAATGTCTATTTATAGGAGAGAGATTGTGGGTCTCACACCTATGGTCTGTTTAATTGTTTTCGGAATTAGTTAGGCAATTACAAACGGTTGCGGGAGTTACTTCAGCATAAGTCTAGTGGTTATAAGCTATTAGCAAGGTTTCGAGCTATATGAATGCACCCTGGCCGAGCTTAATAGCTCATCCATGATGTATTTTCGAAGGAAATGATAGATCACGTGAGATGGTCCTTACGTAGTAGTAGGTCATATTTTGYCCTCCAACAAACTTAGTACTAATTTACCAAACGCTATAATTTTTTGTGTTTAAAATAAAAACACAACTCCCACCTTGTATTTCACTATTTTGTTATCTACTTTTAAATGATATTTTCAAAATCTAAACCAAAATTTTAAAACTAAAAAAATTAGTTTTTATTTTTGGAATTTGACTAAATATTTAAATATTTTTCTAAAGAACGTGAAAAGTATATTAAAAAAAAAACAATGAGAAATCAAGTATAATGTCTAAAAACAGAAAACAAAAAATAAAAATTATTAAACGGAACCTAATTTTAATATTACTCCTAGTTTTCTTAAAAGCTATTGACAGCAAATATTTTAGCACCTATACCAATCTAAAACTAAGTCTTAGGCTCATTGTTTAATGATTAGCAAAAACATTGGTAAATAATAAAAATAGTCTAAAGATTTAAAATGAAAAAAATCATGGAGTAAAATAGAATTAATAAATTTGGTAAAGTTGGGGACCAACAAACAAAACAATAATCACCCTCCCTTTTTTATTTCACTTTGCATTTATACCCATTGCCCACTTTATCCAATCAAAGTTAGCAACATCAATTATTGCTTTGGTCCACTCAAATGGGAGGACCAAAATTAAAAGGAGATAGAATAAATAATTTTCAAATTTATCCTTTCAATTATAATTTTTTAATGTCAATTATCGATAATTTTTCATAAATACCTTTTGATTAGAAATATATGTCAATGATTCTTTATTTAAACGATGACATATTTGATAATGATTTTAGTTTTAATTGTTTATGTTTATGGTTATGTTTTATTTTATTTTATTTTTCACTTAAAACAATAATTACATTCACCTTCTCAAAATAATTTTGAAATCTTAAGAACTACATTCTAAAAATCAAAATCAAAATCCGAAAAATACATGCTTAAGTTTTCAAAACATGGCAATGAAAATTGTTAAAAATATTTATTAAAAAAACAAACAATTAATTAATGAACCCTTGGTTTTTAAAATACACATTAAAAAATAAAATAAAAATCTAATGGGTCCTATTGGAGTTTTTTAATTAATATAAATCACTAGAGAAGATTTTTCTCTTTAATATAGCAAGCAAACGTAAAGCAACACTCAAATATATAATAATATTAAGATTTTTACATATTTGAATAATAATAAAATTTTAAAATAAAATAAAATAAAATACATCACATCACATTTTGGAGTTAAAAGAAATCCCTTCAACCATAATCAAAGAATTTTGTTGGCTCTTATTATCATGCTTCCCTTTTGTGATTGGATTTGAAAAAATAAGTCAAGTGGGAAAAAAATCAGCTACCAAATTGCAATTAGAAATAATTTTATTTGTTTCTCTAGTTTTAAAAAATTTCAATTTACTCTATTATATTTTAATATTTTTTAATTCAACTATTTCTATTAGTAAATCTTAAAACCAGCTGATGGTAGATTTTCATGACATTATACTTAGTGAATTGATATAAATTTAAAAGATAAATTAAACAGACTCGTTATAAATTTGGAGGATATAAAAACCTTTTTATCTCGTACCTGACCTAATTCAAATTTTATGTCATGTAAGCTTATCATCGACCTATTTTAACCGTCAACAATGAGAATGATATAATTAAAAAATGTTAAAACATATGCGGCTATATTGAAACTTTTTCAATTACAAGAATAAGATTGAAAGAACACCCAAACACGAGGGATTACTAAAACATATATTTTGCCTTTCGATCAAGGGAAAAGGAATGATCCTATGAACAATGATTTGATTTTTTTTTTAAGAAGAAAAAAATAAAAGTTAGAACCCAAGAGTAAGTGCAGCTTCTGATCTCCAATGCCTTGCTTTCTCAAACCCATTAGTAAAGTTATCAAAATCATCAATAGTTTGGTCAATTTCTTCTTGAGTGTTCATCACAAATGGCCCAAATTGCACAACAGGCTCACTCAATGGTTCACCTCCAACCAAAACAAACCTCAGAGGCTTGCTTGACTTGTTCCAGACCTCTAAACCGTCCCCGAAACCGAGCAGCAGAAGGTTATGAGCCATCGCGGGCGCCGACTTTGAGCTCCCAAACACACCTTCGCCTTCTAGAACGTAAACAAACGCATTCCAGGACGACGGGATCGGGTGTTGGAGATGAGCTTTTGGGTTGAGAGTGAAGTCCAAGTACATGGTTGGAGTTCTTGTGTATATTGGTGATTTTGCTCCCAATGCCTCACCAGCTATGACTTTCACTCTCACTCCATCTTTTGAAGCTTCTGGGATTTCCTTGCTTGAAACTTCTTGGTAATTTGGTTCAATCCTGAAAAAGAGAGAGAAAAAAAGTTGAGAGAATTGTTAAAGAGGCTTGTGGGGCAGCTATGAGAACACAAGTCAAAAATCCAACTAGCAAATGAGATTTTACATCCTTTTCGATTGAAATGTCTAACATCATAATTACTCCTTTTAAAATTTAGACAGTCTATACTCGATATCATCTATCGAATGAATATAACTATCTTTCTAAATTACGAGTATCCCAACTACATGTGACGTTATCGAACCGACCATTGAACCATATTCTTCGTCCACGAAGCTCTAACTCTTTGGGATTACAAGTAGCAAGCATGTCTAAAAAAGTGTTAAGACAGCACAGCACGGCACAACAAATATCTTTGCAAGATTCATTCACAAGCAAAAGGCAGGTTTGTTGAGAGGCTGATCATTGATCAACATACAAAGTGTGCTTTCACTCAAAAGCACCTTTAAAGAAAGGATCAATCATGAAAAATCATAGTAGTTTGTGAAAAAAGCATAAAAAGAACTCCCAAGGGGTGACCCACATGGCAAGCGCTCGAGATGTCTAGAGAAAGATATCATCCAAGGTTCGAGAGTACTAAATAATTTAAAACCCTTGTTATCTCCAGAAGCTGGCTTCGAAGTGAGCAAAGTCACCTCAAAAACAAGTGAGGGTGGACAGCCAAGTATAATGCAAGAAACGAGTCGCTCGATATCCGAGTTATAAAGATAAAGAGAAAAGGGGTGGTTCTTACATTTTATTCTTGGAAGAGAGGTTGATCCAAAGCTGGAGGCCCTTTTGGGTGCCTTGGGATGCAGGCATTTCTGAATGAACAATCCCTCTTCCTGCAGTCATCCACTGTATGTCACCTGCACCAATTGTTCCCTTGTGGCCTTCAAAATCTTCATGGGTCACACTTCCCTGTGGACCCAAAAAACAGAGACCAATCAATGGGTTTTGTCCACTCTCAAGCAAGACCCCACAACTAAAATACTGTTTCTTAGAAGTTGTTTTCTTTTAGTTTGTTTCTATGTATAATACAAGTTTTTTAAATAGTCCCCGAAAATGGCACAGTGGCAAGGGCCTTAGACCTTATGGTATCATCTATTGCGAGGTCTTGGGTTCAAACTCTATGTTGGTTACTGTGTTTTTCAGCTCAGGCAATGAGTCCCAATTATAGGGATCCACGACGTAAGCGATATGGTATCGATTTCGGGAAATAAGAAAAAAGTTTTTTCTTTTCAAATTGAAGTAGGGGTTTGTGAGTAGTTTTTTTTTTTTTGCTTCTTCCCACTGTTTCCTTATCAAGTTATCATAATTCAGTAAAACCATTTATAAAGAAAAGCAATCACTCTGGTTAACTGAAAGGCTTTTTTACCAATAAAGTTGCAGAGAGAGATATCAGTCCACTTGATTTCTTATTTCTTCCTTTCTTTTTTTTTTGTTTGTTTGTTTGTTTATGTTGAAGAAAAGGACCTTTAATAGCACTTTTCCTTTAACATTACATTTTCTTTTTAAAAAAAATCAACAGTTTTCAATGAAAATAGGCCTAAACATGAAGCCCAAAACATTTTTAATGAAATATAAAATCATAAAGTCATCAAAATAGACCTAAGAAAGTGTATTTTGTTGTATAATCTATTGGCCATACCTGTAACATGTAGGTCACTGTCTCAAATCCTGTTCCAACTCAAAGAATTATAACAAAATTAGTATAATGTATTAGCCTTAACCATCACATAAAACAATCAAAATAGCAGTAATTGAACATTCATATTCCAAACCTCTGTGTGGATGATCAGGAAATCCAGCTGGGGCAGTAACTGCAAAGTTCAAGAACCAAATAATATAAGAATCATATATGTCATTGCTAAAAACTCCATTCAATCTAAACATAAAAAAAGGGGAAAATATATATAGAGAGAGAGAGAGACCCACCTGAAAATTCATCCAAAACCAGAAAAGGGTCAAAATATTTCAGCTCAAACCTGTGCAAAAGACACCATTAAACCAAACCAGATAAGCCAGGAAGACCCTCCACGAACTAATTCAAATGGTACATTTAAGGACAGAAAACACTGAAAAGAGACAGAACCCATGATTCAAACTGGCCTATCAAGTTTTTTTCTCTCCAATAGAAGAACCTCCACTTAACAAATTCAAAAATGGCACATTATAAGGATTAAAGAAAACTAGAAACAGAGAGAGACCCATGATTCAAACTGCAAACATTTGTCAACCCATCAATTTTTTTCTCTCCAATAATAAGAATCTCCACTAACTAATTCAAATGGTACATTCCAAGGATAAAAAAATTAAACTATAAAATACAGAGAGACCCATGATTCAAACTGCAAAAATCTCAAAACCCATCAAGTTCTCTCCAATAAGAAGAACCTCCACTAACTAATTCAAATGGTGCATTCTAAGGGCATAAAAAACTAGAAACAGAGACCGACCCATGATTCAAATCACAAAAATCTCAAAACCCATCAAGTTCTCTCCAATAAGAACAAGTTTTAGTACCTTCCAATGCTCCTTCTAACAATGGCGCCCAATCCTTCATGCTGGGGCCTGGCCAGAAACTTTCTGGCCACCAGGCGGGGCTCTGCAACAGCGCTGTGACTCTCTTTCTCCGGCATTTTTCTTCTTCAGCTTGGAAACTAACTTGGAATGCAAGATTTGACGAAGATGAAATGAATTTATAACGAACGCGGAAGAGAGATATTGAAAGCTTGGAAAGTCAAAGAGGGGGAAATTAAAGAAGTGGGTTGCCAAAAAAGACTGATGGGTTAAAATATGATATGAAAGGGCTGAATTTGATGGGGGATTTTGGGAGTTTGCTTCGGTTCATGGGACTCTCTCTCCCCCTTTTCTTGGTTTACTGTGCGAAAGAACGTCATCTTGGCGTTGTCATGACTCATCAGAGTTCCAAGTTCTAGCCCTTCATCTTGGGCCAATTTTTTGTTTAAAGTATTGGTTTAGGCACTTCAAAGTTTAATATCTTTCTAATTTGATCCAAGAAGTATCAACTTTTTTTTCCCTATTGAATTTGAATGAGATTTGGATTTAGTTTTTGTGGGCAAAATTAATTATTTATTATTGGAGAACCGTGAACGGAAAGGATAATCTACCTGAGTAGAATTTAAGTGTTTCAATAGTAACTGACTCCTTCTGATATTCATAGGTTAAATTTTTATAATATAGTAATATTCTAAAAAAAATGTAAAGTACAAAATAGTTTGTTTTTTTTTCTTTTGATTAAAATATAAATTTAGTCTTTGAACATTTAAGATGGTGTCTTCTTGAATTTAAATATCTGAAATGTTGTATTTAATAGAATATAGATCTCTAACCTATTAAATATATTTTTTAAAAAAATTCATTAACTTATTGATAAAGAATTGAAAACTCAGAGTTCTGGTGAATACAAAATTCAATTTATGTCTAAACGATTTGTGAATTTTAGAAAATATAATAAATGTCTTAATAGACATAAAATTAAAATTTTATAGACTCGTTAGGCCCTTAAAGTTAGAGACTTGTTAACTTAAAGTTAGAAACCAATTGACGGGTTTGGGCACTCTTCTTCAGAATTCTACTAGTAGAATAAAGGCAACTTGCTCGCAATTTCTTCTGATTCCTTACTTGGGGGAGTTTGTTTGGCTATATCGCTTAATTGTCCTTACCTAATTGTTGAATCAGACTCTCCAATTGCAATCAAATTTTTAAGGGTTATCTTATCTCTCTTGGTGGTGAAAGCTCTTCGATATTGGATGTCAGAAATCAGACAAGTTCCTTTGTCTCTTTTTCTTACGGCATATTCCTCGAATTAATTCTCTTGCGAAATATCAGGTAAGGAATGCTTCTTACGAGTTCTTGGTTCAACAACTTCCCCTATCTCTACTAATGTAGCCACATGACATCCATCGAAACCTTAATCTTTAAAGGTTGATACATTAAACTTGTAATTTAGGACCAAATTTAAAATAGGAACACACTTTTGAGATCATAAGTCAAAAATATATTTTGACGCCAAATTATTTTATTATAAATCCCATTTTGAGAGCCTTATGCCGTGTTTTTGGTTGGTGGCATGGAAAATACCTAGGAATCCTCTCTTGGGTCCCACCTTTCCCACCTTTTCCCATGTGGATAACTTAAAAAAAGCCCAAAATTCAAATTTAATTCCAAAGATTTCTAAAATTACACCAGGGTCCCTTGGCCCGAGCGTCGTTTCTTAGTATTTCACTCCTAAAAATTTAGACCACGTTTATTTATCTGCAATCGTAATGGAAAGCAAATCGTAATGAAAATCAATTGTAATGAAATAAATCGGAATCGTAATGTTATTCAATTGATTTTGTTTACCATAAATTTTTTGAAATCGTAATCAGAATTTCTTTGATGTTGTTTACTAAAACTGTCTGGAATCGGAATCGGTAGATATATAACAATTACTAATATACCACTTTCTCTTTTTCAAATTGTGTTCATCTTTTTTAAATTACAATAATAATAAATTTTAATTTAATTTATTACTATATTATTGATAGTAAATATTTTTTATTATTACCATTTATCTAATATTAATAGAATAATTAAAACAAAATTACATCAAATCAAATATTTTGTAGTAGAACCAAAAAATTTTAGTATAACGTATTATTAAGTTTTATTATTCTAATATTTAAAAGTAATAATATCTATTTAAAAAATTTATTGATATTAATTAATATTAATTTATCATATTATATAATAAAATTACACCAACTAATAAAAATTGGAATATAAATGGGGAAGAAATTATAAAAATATATAAGAAAAAACTAATTAAAAATTATATGTATCTAATCGAGGATGAGAAAGAAGGGGTAAAAGTGGTACATTAATTACAATATATATACGGGGTCCACGAAGTAGGGAATGTGAACGGGATTGATAGGGGTTGTAGGAGTGTAATGGGATTATAACCTTTTATGTAATGGGATTACAAAGTTTGAGGTGGGTCCCACAATTTGATTACATCCCTGTAATTTGGTAAACACTATCAAAGGGAATCAAAGTTTTCATTACGATTGATTAATTACGATTGCGGATAAGTAAACGGGTCCTTATTGTATATGTAAAAATTTATATACAATATGTAGTAAAAATTTAACTGGTTGTGGGGGAGTTTGAGTCAACGTTACACAGTTAATAAAAAGCATTGATTCAAACACTTACGAATTTCAAGAAACAAATAAAATTTTTACTACATATTATATATAAATTTTTACGTACACGAGATTTTTATGAGTGAAATACAAAGAAATTGGCCCTGGACCAAGAGACCACTGGTGTATTTTTTTGAGATGACGAGATTTCAATTTTACAATAAAAAAAAATCTTATCGGTGATATTTTGTTAATATTTTTATATTTTCTCGATTGTTTTGTAATACTATAAAATGTGACTCGCTCGTATTAATGTCGAATCTGTAAACATTGTGATAGAAAATTATGATGGCTGAATTTGACTATGTTTTAATTTATGATATTTGGTTGGCCTACAAAACTTTTCTGTTCTTCTCATTAGTTTCTAGGCAATTCTAAGGAAAGTCCCATTGTAATCAATTCAAATTAAGAAGAAAATTTTTACCTCATGAAGACTATATTTAGTGGATACCTCACAGTTTTTTATTTTATTTTATTCTTTTTTTTTAAAGGTTGAACTAGACAAGAGAGATTTGAACTCTATCATATATATTTTGAGGGATTTATATATAAAGCATAGAATAAATACTTATTTTCAAGTATAGTAATGAGTTTTATAATTTCACAAAAATATTACTATTAAAATTAAAGTCAAACTGAAATGTAATATAAAATACACTTAAAGTCAAACTCATGCTATATTTGAAAAAAATATATATTAAAGATGTATTATTAATTTTATGCTATGAAGTAAAAATTCTCTATTTTTTTTATTAATTAAAAAAAATTTTAGAACACACAATATTAGATGGGGATTTAAATTTTAAACCTTCCACATCCAGGGAGGGGTAGAAAAGATAGTTTTGTTTTAAATTAACAAAATTTTGCTAGTTAATGAACCCTAAATTGTGAGAAATTACAATAGGTAACCCTAATCATGACATGGTTTTTTTTTGGAATATAACTTTTGATTGTTTTATTTGAATTTGAATATTATTCAAATTAAGCCCATTATTTATTGAAATTATCTCCATTGATTTTTATCATATTAACTAAGATTATCCAAATAGTAAACAATAAAATGGTCTTTGTGTTGCACAACATATCATTATTCATTAGCCCAATAGAAGGGATAAAAAGAAATCTAGAAACGTTTTGGATTTTGACTGAGTCGTTTGGTAATGTTCTCATTTTTTTTTTTTAAATAAAGAAAAATAAAATTGTATGACCATTAACATTCATAGATTCAATAATGATAAAACAAAATTTGTATTTACATTGGAGTAAATTGAAAATATAAACTAGAAATAAAAAACTTGTCTTGGTTATTTCCAAAATTTATATACAATTTTGAGAATGTTTTTGAAAAATGGAAAACAGAAAATATAAATAATAGTTAAATTTCTTAATAAAATTAAAAACAAAAACCAAAAAACAAGAACGTTAACCAACATGTATTGGATCCCAATTTGTAAAATATTTGGCTGAATGCTGCATTATCCTTTGCTTCAAAGCTAAAGTGAAAGTTTCAAACATTTTGGATAAACACAACACAAAAAAAAAAAAAAAAAAAATCACAAGCAAAAAAACTTACAAAGTTTACAACAGACAAAAAGAGCAAAGATTGGCTTTGGCTACAAATACACAGTCAATCCATCATGAATGAACCCTCTTTCAAGAATACGTTTTCAACATGGGGGGAGCAACTAAAAACATACCTACAGACAGGAAAGTTCAAAGAATTAAATACCGATTTCGCGAAAGAATTTGGACTACCAAGTTGAAGTTCAGTTCTAAAGAGCAACAAGGATCCGAGATTTACAGTAGAGACGATCACGAGCACCCGCTGCTATCTTTCTCAGAATGGAAGAAGAGCAATGAGAAGCATGGCAAGGTTCAAGAGGAAGAAGCCTGTACCAGCTCCAAGCTTGGGCTGTCCATTGCGTGTAGGTGGAGGTGCTGCTGTAGAGCCACCTCCTCCCGCAGCAGGTGGCGGAGCTCTGCTCGCGACCTGAGGTAATGGTGGCTCAGCTACGTCTTTGTCGTCCAGAACAGGGCTCGGAGCAACCTTTGGAGGCATGTACTCGGCAGTAACCAGTTGCAACAAACTACCAGGTTCGACAGGGCTCATGTAAGAAGGTGTTGGTTTCATACTTAAACAGTGGTTCTCTGCATTTAGTTTGAGACAACTATGTCAGTGAACAGGCTCAAAAAACAAAATTCTGATAACATCAAGTAGTTGTAGCTGAAATTTTCTGCACGATGCGCGTGTAGCAAATAGACCAATGAAAGTTAAATGCATTGATATCGACATTTAGCAACGCCTCGAAAATCCTACTGATATGATCCCTCTTATTTACGTCCAGTCAGCTAAAAAACTGGAAGGAACATACAGTACTGAGGCGTAGAGTACTGAATACAGAGGGTAAGGTTGGATACTAAAATGTACTAAAAAAAAGAAAGGTTAAATATGGTTGAAGATCATGAGTGGATTTTGAAAGAGAACTTCAGTAGACCTCGTATCGATTTTAAAACTAAAACTCAGAACATAATATATAATTTCTTGCAACCAACTAGATATGAACAACCGATTCCTGACGATCATAGCCTTTCTTGCGAAACACTTCTGGAGGTAAAAATAGTCAATCTATGAATTTGAACTAGAAGTGTAATCCTACTAATCTAATCCAGCTAAGGCGAAAAATCAAATTTTCCAGAGAGAAGCAATTGGATTACCACATTTGATGAACTAGTAGAGCAAAAACTTGCAATTGGAAGCAAATTAATCGATCTACTCGAAGGAAGGTGCTTACTTTTATATCTAGCAGACGTCTTTGGAAAGTCGGTGATGACTCCATCGATGTTGGCTCCCATAACATATGAGTTGATCTCTACTGTTGCATCTGAAAAGAAATCCCATGCTTGAGAGACAAACTCATTGCTGAAGGATTCCACATATACAGAGAGATTAGATGATTTCAGCTTCTTCACAACATTTGTAGATCCAGTGAGAAATAGCTGATTCACAGGAAAGACAGAGGTCTTGCTGATAACCACAGAGTCGGCAAAATTCTTGATGTCCTCAACAGTTGAATTAAGCACATTACTAATTGACTCGTCCACATCATAAACAAGCTCGTAATTTTTATTTTCCTGTTTAAATTTTATTAGAACAGCACTATTTGGGGATTCAATCATCACTTTCAGGGCTGTCTGATTATCATAACCAGCTTTGCTCAAGGAATCTAAGACCACATCAGTTACACTAAAACCCTGCTCCTCAGCTAGGTAGGCTGCATTCTGGGAAACAAAATAGACAATATATCCTCAATATAAATGAACAGAATGAGAACTGACATGTTTGAATAGCATGATAGATTTTGAAGCTTGCAGCACACATCGTAAATAAAGAAAGATTGAATACTTAAAACACTATATCAAATGCTAACCAAAAATATGTATTGATGGAAGAGAGAAGTATCAGAAGGAAGACATCACGCAGGAAAATCACTCCTAGTGTCGAACATGAAACATCAATGTCGTCTTCTTAAAACAGTAAATGATGATTGACAAACAGAAAGCTGCGAATGTTTGCTATACTGCTATCAGAAGCAACGATGAAGAAGTAAATGTAACAAAAAGAACAACAAAAAACTGTTGTGGGGCTAGAATCAGGATAAGCATAGGTGACTATTTGAGGAGATACTTGATGGTCCTTTGTTAGGGGAAAAATTGTTAGGATGTGAACATAGCCCCACTCAATTTGAAGTAAGGAAGACCCTAGGTATATAAATAAGGACGCCATCCAGTTAAGGCTCCCGTTTGGGTAGACATCCAAAGTAAAACCTTGCATGTTTAGACCTAAATGGACGCTAGACAATATCATGCCATTATGGAAATATGGAGAGGTTTGTGATCCTATCATTCTATGAAAAAATTAATTTCCCAGCAACGAAAAATCAAATGGCTATGACATATTTAATTAAAAAATAGATAAGCATTTAGTTGGATAGCAGAATGTCTTATGATTCATTCCCTTCAAAAAATCTCCCCGAGTTTTGTGATTCAATTGACTAAAGGATTCCTTAGTTCAGTAAATTTTCAGAAACTATTCTTCCCTTAGATCCAACTACTCTACACTTGCAGTATAGATTGATCAGAACAATTTTCTGTTTTGTGTAACTTTGTGGTTCTCCCTATCAACAGAGTTAATACTCTAAAAGACTTACTTCACAAATCTATGTTTCACCCAACTGACAAGACCAATGATAATGGTAATCATTTGAATAAAGAGGAACAGGAAAATAAGATCTGGCAGAAACAACGACAATTTTTTGTCTGGCCCTGTGCTAAATGACACAAGGTGTTTTGGATCAAGCAATATTTTTCAGGGCTAGGAAGCTATGAAAAGGTTAGTTTCCCACTCCGAGCCTCACAGTATAGTGTTCATTCCTTAGTACAATCTAGTTGTCCCATGTATTCAAATTTCCATCCTTAGCACAATCTATTTTGTCCATTACTCACAGATTCGCAATCAAATCCCTTCCTTTACGCAAGATATGGTAGAGCAGGTGATTATAATTTCATATTCATATACCAAAGATCTTAAACACGTACTGTATTTAGTTAAGAAAAAAAAAAAGCAACCCTCACCTCAATTTTGATCAAGACACCAGAAAGAGTGCTTGCATTCTTTGCCAAGGCCAAGAAATCAGGTAGCGTTAGAAATTTCCCACTGTTTCGGAACCTTGGATTTCGAAACAACAAGAACCTTGAAAAGGGGTTCAATATTGACGCTGCAGTTGAAATCAAATGGTAAAAACGTTAGCATTTCAAGCTAATCCTTGCACCATTGTTTCTAGACATGCTAGTCAGATGATCCACACTCATTTCCTCTGAGATGAGAAAATAATGAATGATACAGTCAAGAAGAGACTACTGGTGACATTGTAAAGACCGGCTATGTTCTATTCCACAGAAATGATATACTACTCTCTCTGATAACCAAGTTATCATTTTCTAAAATCATAACCTAAATCAATCATAACTTCACTCTAACAGTTTTTTTTTAATATCCGCGAGTGTCTGGACCAGCTTACGCACACCTCGATTAATCTCACGGGACAACCACCTAACCCTACGACATTTAGTGCTCGGAAACACATAGGAATTATTAATTCTTAAGGTAGATGGCTATCATAACTTCACTCAACAGTTTTACAATGAAAGAAATTGCATACCAGCTTTACCATCACAAGAGCTGTGGCATCACTTTCTGCTTACTCTCCTTAAAGAATTATGCACTTCTTTTACATGTTTTACCCAACATCTTAAGTCATTCACTCAAGCTCAAGATGTTCAAAAGAGCTTAAAGGAAGTGTTTGGTGATCTAATAGAATGAATATCACTTGAAACTTTATATTCTATTTCATTTCAAATGTAATGTAAAAAGCAGCTCATTAAGGACATAACCATATTATAGTCCAATCAACTTTAATCCCAGTGGTTGTAAATAAGCTGAGAGATGGGACCCAAAAAAAAAAAAGGACATGCTGCAAAGGACTAGTTATAAAATAATTATCAAGAAAATGAGAAGCAACTTCACTTACGGGTCAGGGTTTGAATCTCGTCCCATGTTAAGTCAAAAGCAAATATTCCATCATTAGGATTAATTGCGGGGATTTTTTTTGAACGAGTAATGAATGGTGTTTGAAATATTGTTGTGCTATCTATAAGATTAATTGAGCTCATGCAGAATGGTGTTCCATCCTTAGCAATTTGAACAGGACAGTCGAGCACTTCTACACCATCTGAAATAGCATGGGAATATGCCAAGTCTGTACAAGCAGGATAGTCTCCACTAGCTCCAAATTTTGAAATAACCAAAGGCTTGACTGGAAAGGGGGAAAAATATCAAAATTAACGTTAAGAAGTCTCGTGTCAGTTAAAGAAACATTCAGCCTAGCATGAAATTCAAAATTTGAGAATGTTCAGTGGAAATACTATTATAATTCGGGCATACCTCGACTTTTCGCATCCTTACCCAAGTGAGCGAAACAATCTGGACCATCAGAGAAAAAATCTCAATTTGATGAAATTTCAATTATAAATCAAGTAAAGCAGACAACACCTATTGAGTTATCACGCTGAAATAGTAGAGTTATTGCCTTAATTTCAATTCAAATGATTGACACTTGATTGTTTTTGTTCTAATCAATATGACATCGACAAAAATCTCCACGGTTTTAGACTTTTAGTTTATCACTGACTTGAAATTGAGAGATGGTAATTTCCTCCTATATTTCCGTGGATAGTTCAGATGAAAAAGTCAGAATCTACAAAGGATATTATAAATGGAGCTTTTATGGGGAAATAATTTTAGGCTTTTTCTTGAGGTTTCCAAACATTGATGTATCTTAAGCATCTCGTGAGTATCTAGTCTCATGTCGACCCAAAATGGAGCAAAGAAAGATTTCAAGGTATCATCGGATGGGGAGGAAAATGTGAGTAAATTCATGGACATCATATTTATGAGCTGGAATATGATGACTTACCGATAGCTTCCGATGGAGTAATAGGGAAATCAGTCAGCACACCATCAACTGAAAATTGGCCATTGTCAAAGTAAGACAGGTACTCGGTAATTGGATCATAACTGTAGTTGTAGCTTATTGGAAGGTCACTATAGAACTCTGATGCAAAAACTTCCAACTGTTCTTTATGAGCATCCGAAACAAGAGAGGTTTGTGGCTGTAAGTAATTATCGTTACCAATGGGCCATATATAAAACTTAGGAACAATAATTCCAGAAGCAAATGTCTTGATAAAGGTGAGATTGTTTAAGAGAGAACCATATGTCTGATTGGTTGTAATCTCAACATCGTTTGGCCCTAAAGCCCGAAAGATCAACTTTGTTGTGCGAGGATTAAACCTTGCAGCTATACTTCTAAGAAATCCCACCTCTGGTGATGATATATAATTAATAATGATGCGTTTGGATAGAGAAATGACAAAGTTCCTCATGTTCAGCTTTTGTTGGGTGAAGAATGCATCATGCTGCAAAAAGAGTACGAGGGATCAGTAAAGACTATAAAAAGTAAAACCTAACAACTTAGGCAGAGAAGAAGGAAGAACACTAGTGTATGTGCACATAATTTTTGCGGTGCAAAAAAAGTGAGTATATAATTAAAGTAGATTGCACAATACAATTACCTGAACATTCAGCCAAAGTCCTGTTGGCTTGAAATCCATAGCTACGTCTTCGGGAGCGAGAATTGGAAACCCATTGCCATCAAACTTATTACTTCGAGAATAGATAGCTTGAGTAACTGCCCAGTTAAATCCACTTGTCAGGAAATTTTACAGAAATCTTATATCACAGTTAACAATGGGTCAACTTGACAATGGTTGTAGAAAATTAGAAATTTTTTCTTTATCGTCAACATTAAGTTCAATGTTGAAATTGACCCCGGATGCGTTGTCTTACATGTGATGATTGGCTAGAGAGTTGGTTTCTTGAGGATTGATATATGTTCACTGAAATAAAAGTAACTATACAGTATTTAAAGGTTACAAATAAATTTTAATTTGTAGAACATGTTTTCTGAATCAGACAAAGTAATTTTCTTTTGTTTAAAAAAACACAAAAACCATTTTCAAATGCAGCTCCCTCAGTCACCGAGATAGACAAGCAAAAGCGTGAGTCGTATAAACATGGGTTGGGTTCCAAATTTTCCAAAATAGAACCCTCGTTTTAAAACTCTGAAGTGCTTAAATTGAAATGTAGTAATCCACTAGATTTTGTTAATTATGTCGAACAGCTACATGCAATGCTTAAAAGAGGAAGCAAATATACAAGGAGGATCAGAAAAATAGAGAACCGTATTTGACTCTTACAAATTCTGAGTTTTTCAGTTCCAACAGCCAGAAGCATAAAACATAATAAATGATAAGATAAATATAAAAACAGAGAAAGAAGAAAAGTGGGGAAAGTGTTGACAAATTGAACTTACCAGAAACATTCCCTAGATCTTGGGCATTGAAATCGACCGTAAACAATCCCTCAGTACGAACTCCATTAACAAGATAGACATTGGAGAGGTTCGCCCCCAGAATGCTTGCAGCGTTAGTACAATTGTCAAGCAACAGATCAGGGAGACAAATTCCAACTCCATCTTTAGTTAATTGCACATCACACCATAAGATCACATCAGGGACACTAACCATCAATGCCAGATTGTAGGCATTTGAGCTTGAATCAGGAAACAGCCCTGAAAATCCACCACGAGCCACAACAAAAGGAGGATCTCCTGCAAAACCAAAACCCAAGCATTAAGCTCACAGCACCAGCAGCGCCTAAGAGAACAAATTCAAACCTAACAGCAGGCAAATGAGTCAATGACCATCTGAAATGCACTGGAAGATTTTCCAAACTCAAAATCTTCTGGTTCAAACCCGAAGTTATTAACGAAATACTAATTGAGTTAACAGCCACTTCACCAAAACACTTCCGACTCCGTTTCTAACTTCTTTCAACGCAACAAGAAAATTAAGCTTCCTCCTCCAAACAAATTCACAGAGAAAAAAAACCAAAAACGAAAAAGACGACGAGATAACCAAAACCGTGCAAACCTCGGGAGATAGAGACGAGCGCTACACTCACCAGTGAGAGTCTGCCATGGGGAGGTATTGTTAGATCCCTGACCAGAGACCAGCACCACGAACGAGTGAAGAAGCAGGGGAAACAGCAGAACCAGAGTGCGAGAAGCAGCACACATTGCCGGAAACTTCCTCCAGCTACTCATCGGAGCTCAGGTGAACTACGGGACAGCTCCGCCGGCAAATCCACGGCGGTTGATTGGAAGAAAATGGTGAGATCAGTGGATTAGCCGAGCACAAAGTTAGAGAGACAAATGGAGGAGGGAGAGAGAGAGAGAGGAGTTTGAGCAGAGAAGCTTTACAGGCCAGCTTTTTATATTTTTGGTAATGGTTTAATTTTAAAAAATATTATCATTGATTTTTAATTTTTAATTTAATTAATGGAAGCCGGTGCTTGTTTTTTGATTGATAGTTCCCACGTTGAACCTCGAAAGATTATTCAACTCGGCTTAATTTTAGCCGGCTCAGCTCCGAATAAGCCGCTCGCACGGGACGTAACCAAGCCAAATATCTGTCTTAATTGTAAGAAATATCAAGATTTTTATTTTCTCTTTATAATTTGGTCTGTTTAGATTTATCTTCAATTTAATTTTTATAATTTGGCCAAACGTGGTAAATTATGTATGTCGTTATTATGTTGACATTTTTTTAATGTGGAAATCAACATATTTTCTAATTGTAACTAGCATTGAAAGGAAATAAAAGAAAGTATTTGAGATTTTCACGGGCGTACAATTTTTTTCACGGATGATTTGTAAAGTTTAACAAAATTATAGAGATCAAATTAAAAGTTTTAAAGGTAGAACCAATTTGAAATTAATCCCAAATTGAAACTTTTGAAATTATAGGGATCAAATTAAAACTATATACATACCATGGGGATTAATTTTTAAATCTTAGAATTAACACCGACTTCCAATACCTCATCTCTAACTACTAAGGTTAACTTTTGTAAATCGATTACAAAGCGTAATAAGCACTATTACTTATGAGATGACAAAATTAAAACAATGTTCAAATCGTAGAGACCAAATTTATAATCTAACATTTTATTAAGATACAGTGGTGAGTTGATATTTCTTGAAATTTTATAAAAGTACTTAAATTGATAAATAAGATTTTCATTAATCTTGTATTATTCGGATCGTTGATATTTTGTCACCTTTTATGGTATAATGGTATGGTTAATTTTTTACGGTTTTTTTAGTACAGCAAATGCAGGATAGATGATTAAACATTCCATTAGTACCTATCTACTTTCATATTTATAAATATACAAATTTAGTGAAATATAATTCAACTAGTTAAGATATTAATAACTATATTTAACCGTGTGGGCTTGGGAGGAGAAAGACGAGCCGTAGCCGCCAAAATTTGGAGTGGGACTCATAAATCGATTGGACGTGGGAGACAGCTAAAGAGTGGGGTCCACGTCATGAGCATCAACAAACTGGCATATGATTACGTGGCGAGCTGCGATTGGCTTGTTGTCTTACAAGGAGTCAGCGGAAAAACGCGCAATTGGATTGCCTTCGTGGTGGGTCCCGACCGGTGCAACTCAACTTTCTAATCTCTTCCCTTTACTTTAGTTTTTGACAGGAAAAATTTGATAGTGATACAGATAATAATGATTTATTTTGAAAATGATGTCTTTTACCGTCTTGAATGGGTCAAATTTACTTTTTAAACCTCTGGTTTTCAGTTTTCACCAACTTACCCTTTGGTTAATTAGATTGTGAAGTTAATTTCAATGGCCTCTTTTTCTTTTTCTTGCTAATTCTATTTCTGCATAAAAAATTAGGACAGATGCAATATTGCAAAAATGTTCAGTAAAATTAATAAAATCGCAACCACATTTAATTTTTTAAAATATAACATTTTTCTTATAAAAAAGCGGAGGTCCAATTTTAAAATAACAACTTTACTAAAATAATATATATCTGTAATATATCTTACTACTGATATATATAATATATATCTTATATGAGTGTTTGATATATTTGTAATATGTATATGATATACATCTGATATACTACTTATATGAATATCTCTTATAGTATTAATATGTATCTTATCTATTATTCATATGCAATATTTATAAATTTAAAAAAACAAGTAACATATTTTGAAATACATAAAAAGTTTTGTCACTCATCGTAATTTTCCTAAAAATTAAACCAGAAATACAAGAAAAAAAATTTCTAATTTCTTCCATTTAGTTTAGTTTTTGACGGGAAAAAAAATGACAGTGGATTTATTTTGAAAATTATGGTTTTTACAGTACTTGAATGCGTCAAATTTACTTTTTAAACCTCTAGTTTTCAGTTTTCACCGACTTACCCTTTGGTTAATTAGATTATGAAATTAATTTCAATGGCCTCTTTTTTTTCTATAATACTATGTTTTCATGAAAATGAAACCAGCAATACAGTAAAACATTAAAAAAAAAAACAAGATTTAAATTTGTTTTCTCTAACTTGGAGAGAGGTTATATACATGCATATAAAGTTAAAGGTAAAAATTTATATTTTCTTGAAAAAAAGAAAAATTGTGGCTTCACCTTTAAATACTTAAAAGCATAAGTCAAAAATATGTTTTGTAATTATTTATTGTTTTTCGTTATCTAAAATTTTAAATTAAAAAAATAAATTTTTATATAAAATTTATTTATTTTATTAAATAGTAAATTTTTATGCTATATTTGTTTAAAATATATTTTACAAGTAAAATACTAGTAAAATGCATAAAATAAATTTAAAAAACTGCATTTTTAGAAGCAAACGTAATAAAATGATACTTTTATTTATGTTATGAAAAAAAAGTATAGATGAGGACGAGAAATAATAAACTTGATTTTGTTGAAAACATTCTTTGAAAAAAGAGATGAAAAATAATAATAGTTACCGAAAACTTTTTCTTCTGATGTTTTAAGGCTAAATATAAATAAACTTTTTACTCCTTGAATTTGTTTTCAAGCGTGAGCCTTTCAAAACAAAGTTGAGGTTAGTTTTTGTCGGTTAGATTTTGAATAATTTACTTCTTATATTTTAAGAGAAGTATAGATTAATTTTGAGGTAAATTTAAAATTTTAAGTTTTTTTGGGAATTCTTTTGATTGTTTATTCAATTTGGTGTTTAATTTAAAAGAGCTAAAATTTACTTATCTTACTAAATATATAGGTAAAAATAATTTTGTCTAAAACGAAAATACAGGTAAAAAGAATTTGGAGGTCCAAACAAGATGGGCGTTGATAATAGGAAATTAGGCTCACCATCAAATATTTTAGAAGCTAAAAATTTAAAATATTTGAAATTCTATTTTAGATATTCATAATAGGAATTCTTAATTAGTTTTTGGAAATCTTCTGTCAACAGTCAAAATTGGAAATTAATTAAAAACAATGCAGCCAAGTTGTAAAATTGACATTTTAAAATAGGTTGTCACTGTTTTTCCAAATTTGAATTGTTCAAAATTTTGAATTGTTCAAAATGTTTACGTGATTGCATGCAACATTAATTTTTCCATGATGTGAACTAAAATAAATCCATCAATTTAGCCTTAGAATTTAGATCATTTTGTAATTTTTTATTATTTGATTTTGAGGTTAGAATTCAGTATTTTTTTAAAGTTCAATATAAACATTTCATTTTGGGTAATTTGGAATTTTTTATTTTGTTTCTATTTTAATTGCTGAGAAATATACGTGTGGTAACTGTTCCTATATTGTGTATCTATTATAGTCTTGCATGTCCAAAATTTTCAAAATTTAAATAAAAATATTATTATATATCATTTTTACTTATAAAATAAAAAAAAGAACTAATAAAATAATAAATATAAAACATAATAATTTTTTTATTTATTCATCTTATGAAACTTTTCTTAATTTTAAAAAGATAACACGTGCTAAAACGTAATTGACATATATTTCCAACCACGAGGTCCAGTATTCGATCCTCCCTAAAAAATAAAAACATTACCAAATAAATATTATATGACTTAATTTTGTGCCTTTTTATTGACTTGACATTCAAATAAAATTACATATTCAATCCAATATATATTGGATAAATACAATATATATCATTTTGGAAGGACTCCTTCAAATAGCTGTTTTGAATGGAAAGATTATTTTTTATTATTATTATTATTATTATTATTATTATTATTATTTTGGATAAGAGGGTGGGTGGGGAGAAAAGAAAAAGTATTAAACTGCATTTACTTTTTTACCTTATTTTTCCATGAAGAGAAAGAGATGTTATTGTAAGGAGTAAATAGAAAGCGACTTTTGAACTTAAAAAAGAAGAAAAAAGAAGAAAAAAACTTTTTGGAGTCACAGTGATCTCATAAGTGACCCAAGAGATTAAAAAAAAGAAAAAAAAAAAGGCAAACTTCTCCATTTTGTGAATAATAAGTGTCAACTCTTAAAACTTTTGCTTTTAAATATTGAGGAAGCATCATCTACATTTTTATTTATTTATTTTTACTTTTGCTTTATGCTCTAAAAGAAAAACAAAGTTGTGTTATTATTATTATTATTTATGAGTTGTTTAAGAGTTAGGACGCTTTTCTATCTTTAAAATACTATATTATATAAATATATGCATATATATATATTAAACAGCCTAATTCTTAGAATATATTAAAGTTCCAGATGGTGAAGGTACTTTTTATAATGTTTCTAAAACAAAATATTAAAAATATAGAATTTGTAAATAGTTTTATATGTTGAAAGCATGAAATGTGAATGGTTTGGAATGAATAAAATATAAAAATAAGTATTCACTTATTCCCATGTTTTTTTTTGGTTGATGATGTTAAATTTGTTGTTCATAATTCATGTCTGTACGTTAGTTCAATTAACGATTTAGATCATGAACTTTAGTTTGCAGTACTTAAGTATATTTTTAAATTTATGATAATTTAATTCATGAATTTTAGTATGTATCACTATAGTCTCTACAATTTAAAAATTTATAATAATTTAGTCTATACCATGAACAATCTCATCAAATTTAATGTCAAATTTTATTATATAATGGGTTTGGTTTGTTTAATTTACCATTACATTTGCTTTCTCATGAGTTCACTCATAAGTTCACTAATCAATGTATCCAATAAGCCCTACTAAATCTCAACAATATTTTCACGATATCAAACAAAAAATACTAAATTATTACATATTAAGGTTTAATGACTGAATTGTTACCAATTTGAAAGATACAATGACTAAATTATTATGAAATCAAATAAGTTCAAAAACTAAATGATACTTCAATAAAAGTACAGAAACG